CGTTAGAAGTAGTTTCCTTATGTATAAGCGTTCCAACCGATTTAGCGTTCAAAAGTATTAAGATACGATGGAAACATATCAGAGACAAAATAAAAATACCATTAACAGAGTTCTTAAAAGCGATAGAATGTGTTCTCTCATCTACATATTTTTCGTTTAATAATAGGGTATATAGACAAACATTTGGAGTACCAATAGGATCTCCACTTTCTCCCATAATCGCAAACATGGTCATGCAAGACTAAGAAAAATCTGTTAAAAAAAAATTAACTTTCAAACAGACGTGTTATTTTAGATTTGTTGATATAATTATGACTACCAATTGACCAATTACAANGACTTTAAAATCATTTTAACAAGTTTAATGAGAGACTTCAATTNAATTGGAATTACAAAATAATAACAGTTTGAATTTCTTAGATGTAAAATTAGTTTTGAATAAAAGAATTGTTGTTGACTGGTATCATAAGGATACCTTTTCAGGTAAATATTTAAATTTTTGTTCTGCTCATCACATATGTTACAAAAAATTGGCACGATAATTGGTATGGTGGACAGTGTTTATTTTATCAGATCCTACCTTTCATGAAAAAAACTTCAAATTAATCATAGAAATCTTATCTCTAAACAATTATTCATTAAATTTTATTATCCTTAATTTTTAATATTATCAGAAACAGGATAAATTTTTAATTCATAAAAACTCAAAAACTAACCATAAAGAACCGTTGAACCAAATAAAAATTTCTTTGTAATTCCATTCAATAATCAATTGTCTGATTCAAGTTCCAAGTCAATTAGTAGAAAAGTAGATATCTCTATGGCATATAGAAGCCTTAATAAATAAAACAGATTTATTAAAAAGATTCTTTAGAACATGATCACAATAAAAACATTATTTATTAAATAAAATGTAACGATTTGTAAATGTAATATTTCTTACATGGGTTAAACCAAAAGTAATTGAAGAACTCGGAGCATTGAAATCAGATAAATAGAACATAGACATTTATTCGGTTGTCACCGAACGTGAAACAGGTCATGATTTTAATTGGCAAGACACAAAAATTTTAGACCATGAAAAATTCTATTACAAAAGATCTATTTTAGAGATGCTCCACATCAAATTACAAAAAAATCCGATTAATGTTGTATCCAAGGATCCGGACCGGACTGAAACCGAAACCGATAACCGGACCGTAACCGTTATTTTAGTCAAACCGAAACTGAAAACCGGCCCGAAATATTATGTAGACTAATAGACCGGAACCGTAACCGAACCGAAAACTTTTTCCGATGTTTATTTC